GTTTTAGGGAGCTTTCCCGGGTTTAAACAGGATTATTTTGACCAAAAATGGTTTCATTCCAATATTTTTTTGGAGAGTTAAGCATTTAAAAAAAAATCAACATTGTAAATTGTAAAAAAAAAATAATAAATAAATAAATTAAATTTTACATTTTCTTGGCACCCCAAATTCCCGTCATTCCAGGATTTAAGGTTTCACCTTCCCGAATCCTAAACCAGGACGGAGTCACGTGCCCGGCTCATTCGTAAATCTCGTTATCATCACAATCAAAAACAATCATTGTCCAATAAAAACAACGCCGGGAAAACAAAGGCAGCAATTACCACAACACCAGAACAGAACGCCTCTTAATTAGGGGGAATTGTTCGCGCCTCCCACTCGTTTTTAGGGGGTTTAGCCGGGAATTTTTTAGGAACTGGGGGTTTTTCCCGTCTGGAATTCCGTCAGTTCCGTGCTCTGGTCGGGAAAAAAAATTAAAAAAAAAAATAAATTCGTTTGTTTAAAATTCCGTAAAAGCAGCAGGGAATTCCTCTGGTTCTTTTGGAGGAGCTGCCTCGGCTCTTCCCATCCCACACCCGATTCCTGCTGGGATCCAGATTTACGGAGCCAAATCCTACGCGGGAAAAAAAAGCAGGAAACACCCCCCCAAAAAAATCCCAAAACTCTGGAATCTCTTCCCCATTTTTCCTCAGCGCAGCTCCCGCCGGAAGAGCCACACATCCCCAAAAAGGTGGAGAAGGATTCGGGGATAAAAAGGAGAATTTTGGGAATTCCAGGACTTACCCAGCTCATGAGGGGGGAAGAAGAGCCGGAGAGCAGCGCCCGGGAAAGGCCGGGGCCGGCCGGGTTTTTATGGAGCCCGGGAATGCCCCAGGGAATTTTTGGGAGGTTGGGTTTGGCTTTAATTGCACCCCAAACCCGGCCACGTGCGGCTCCGGCTCCCAGGGATGTCCTGGATCCCCGGGAGCGGAGAGGATGGGCCAGGAAAAGCAGGAAGAAAAAAAACCCAAAAACCTGGAAAATCAGAGATCCTCACGGGTGCCAGATTTTCCCAAAATCCCAGCCAAAACAGCCCTTTTCACCCCCCCCAAAAAAACCCTAAAAACCCCCCAAAAAACAAACAAAAAAATCTGAAGAATCAAGGATTCTCAGTGGTGCCAAGTTTTCCTGGAATTCCAGCCAAAACAGCCCTTTCCATCCCCCCAAAAAACCCAAAAAAAACCCACAGTAAACCAAGGATTCTCAGGGGTGCCAAATTTTCCCGAAATTCCAGCCAAAACAGCCCTTTCTATTCCCCAAAAAACCATGGAAAACCAAGGATTCTCAAGGATGTCAAATCTTCCTAAAATCCCAGCTGAAACAGCCCTTTCTATTCCCCAAAAAAACCCCAAAACATTGGAAAACCTCGGATTCTCGGGGATGTCAAATCTTCCCAAAATTCCAGCCAAAACTGCCCATTCTACTCCCCCCCCCCCCCAAAAAAAAAAAAATTAAAAAAGTCCCAGTGGAGCCCAGCCAAGGGAAAAGAAGGAATTCCTCATTCCCAGGGGAGCTGCGGGCAGGAATCCCTTTGAAAATCCATCCAGGAAGGACTCGGGGCATCCCATAATTAGTGGGACACTCGGATTCCTTCCCAGGGATCCAGGAGGGATCATCGGGACGGCTCCCAAAAATTCCCGGTCACAAAGGGGGGAAGGGAGAGGCCTCATCCCAAAAAAACCCAAAAAATTCCCATTTCCTGCTCCTTTGTTCCCTGTTTGTCCCACAAAAAAAAAAAAAAAAAAAAAACAAACAGGGAAAATGAGCAGGATTGGGAATGCCAACTTTGGGAGTCACTTCTGCACCAGGGGAGGGCCTGGAATTTGGGGTTTTGGGGGTTTTTTGGGGGGTTTTTTTGGTCCCTTTTATATGAATTCGACACTTTTGAATTGATTCAGGTGGGGTGCCTGAAAAAAAAGGGAATTATCATGGAAAGTCCTCCTTGGAAGGGATCAAATCCAACTCTGGGCCCTGCTCAGAATTCCCAAAGTTCCCAAAACTGGGAAAATGCTCCTGGAGCCCTGGGAATGTCACCATGACCGGAATATTGGAATATTTAAATATTGGAGTATTTGGAGTATTTGGAGCAATATATGGGTATTGCAATATTGGGATATTGGAATATTTGGATATTGGAATATTGGAATTTTGGAATATTGGCATTTTGGAATATTGGGATACTTGGATATTGGAATAGTTGAATACTGGAATTTTGGAATATTGGGACATTTGGATATTGGAATATCGGATTATTTGAATATCGGAATAATTGAGTACGGGAGTTTCGGAATGTTGGAGTATTGGAATATTCGAATATTTAAACATTTGAATATTGGAGTATTTGAATATTGGAGTATTTGAATATTAGATTATTTGAATATTGGAGGACTTGAACAGCGGAATTTCAGAATTTCGGAATATTTGGAACATCAGGCTCCAAATGATGACCCACGACCTGAATCTCCCGTTTTATTTCCTGCTTTCCCGGGAGCCTCGAGGCAGCCCCGCGATTTCCCTTTAATTTCCCGGCCGCACAGGAAATCCCAGGGGCGCTGGCGCCGCTTTTCCAGGCGGATCCCAACATTCCGAGGGCTCAAGGGAGGAACCCGAAGGCAAATCCCGGCCCCAGCCCGGATTCCTCTCACTTTTATGGATTCTCCCTGCCCTGAACAACAACAACAACAACAACAACAGCACTGAACTTTTTAGTGCTGGATTCCCTGACCTGGAATTTTGGGAATAAACAGGCGTCGGAGCATGGCTTAGGCCGGGTTTTATGGGAATTCCTCGGGAAGCTTGGGATCAAGGAGAGCTCCTAATTCCTGGTTGTGTGTGTGCCCAGCGCAGGGAGCGGGGCATTAACGTGGCGGCCTGGCATTAAAAATGTCCTTAATTAACACCCCAATGTCCTTAATTAACATTTGCGAGGCCCTTTCATCTCCCAGAGGCTCCTGGGAATTTGGGAATGGGGGGGGGTGTCATTATTCCCAATTAAACGCTGGGGAAACTGAGGCACGGCTGAGTCAGGGCCAACCCCGTCCAAAACATCCCCAAATCCCGGTGGCCCCAAAAATCTGGGATCCACTCACCAGAGGAGGATTTTCTGGAAGGTTCCGTGGGAAAAGCCACAAGGCCACCCCGAGATGGGACAGCCCTTCCTTCCAAAGGTCATGGAGGAGCTGGGAATGTTGGGAATGTTGGGAATGTTGGGAATGTTGGGACCCCAGAGCCCCTCCAGGATCTGCAGGGACAGGACACAGGGAATGGGGTCAGGGGGACAGAGGGGGAATTTGGGGGGGATTTTGGGAAGGAAATTTTTTTTTTCCTGTGAGGGTCCCAGGCTATTCCAGGGATTTCCCACCCCGGGAACCACTTGGGACAGGGGAAGGTCCCTGCCCATGGAACCGGGGTGGGATTTTTTGGGATTTCAGGTTCTTTTCCATCCCAAACGGTTCCAGGATTGCCTGGGCCAGTTTGGATGGGATTTTAGGGATAAATCCTTCCCTGGCTCAGATGATTCCATGGATTCTCCATCCCTGAGAATGTCCAGGGCTGGATTAGAGCCATCTGGGATGGGGGATGTCCCTGCCTGTGGAATGGGACGATTTTGATGTCCCTGCAACCCAAACCATTCCAGGATTTTATCCCAATTTTAATCAGATCCAACAGGTCCCTGAAACCCAAAACATTCCAGGATTTTATCCTGATTTTAATCAGATACAACAGCTCCCTGAAACCCAAACCATTCCAGGATTTTGTCCCAATTTTAATCAGATCCAACAGGTCCCTGAAACCCAAACCATTCCAGGATTTTGTCCTGATTTTAATCAGATCCAACAGGTCCCTGAAACCCAAACCATTCCAGGATTTTATCCCGATTTTAATCAGATCAAACAGCTCCCTGAAACCCAAACCATTCCAGGATTTTGTCCCAGTTTTAATCAGACCCAACAGGTCCCTGAAACCCAAACCACTCCAGGATTTTGCCCCTCAGTGTTTGGGGAATCCGGAGGGTTGGATTGTGGGACCAACCAGATTTCCCACATTCCCTGCTGGGAAAACAAAACCCAAACTCCAAGGAAAAGGCGGCAGCGGGAGCTCCCAACACTCCCGGGAGCTCTTGGACAACTCCAGGTGGCACCGGGAGGTCACCAAGGCAGGGAGGGGCAGGACAAGATGCGGGACAGCGTCCCCAGCCCGGCCACACCCTCCCGTCCCCTCCGGCCACCGCGTGAGCTCCTGCTCATTTTCCTGATGATGGGGCTCAGCCACGGCTTTACCCAGCCTGGATTTTTAATAAATAAATATCTTATATTTAATAAATACTTAATATTTAATTATTATTTGATATTGAACAAATATTTGTTATTAAATAAATATTTAATATTAAACAAATATTTAGTATTAAATGTTTCCATTAAATATTTTTTCTGTTAAATAAATATGTCTATGAAATATATATTTCACATTAAATAAAGATGTCATGTTAAATAAATATAATAATATTAAAAATTTATAATGTTAATTTTAAATAATAATAATAATAATATTATATAAATATTTCTTTAATTAAATTTAAAAAAACACCAAAAGGCAGAAACCCAAGATTTTAATCCGAGGTCAGGCAACAACGTTTATTTAAGTTTATATATATATATATATATATGCAAAATATTCATATATTTCTGTAAATAAAGTTTGTTTTCAGTGCACATCTTCAGCATAAGGAATTTAATTACCTTTTTAATGAAGCATTTATAAAATAACCTTGCAATAAATTTAATTATTTCGAAGAGGTTTCATTTCAAGTTGTGGTTTTTATCTTAACCGAAGAATAAAAACTTCAGGAGGGACATTTTGTGGAATTGCTGTTGGGGGACTCAGCGGGAGTCAGGGGGTTAAAAAAAAATGGGAATCGTGGCCACATTCCCAGGGATTGTCCTCGTCACACGCCCTGGGGGTCACCAGGGCCACTTGGGGGCCGAGCAGTATTTCTTGGAGTGGCTGGAGATCTTCACTCCACCGGACTGCTGGGGGACACACTTGGTGGCACTCTGCTGGGGGACACAAACTGTCCCATGTTGCTGGGGGACACATTTGGTGGCACTTTGTTGGGGGACACATTTGGTGGCACTTTGCTGAGGGACACATTTGGTCACACACTGCTGGGGGGCAACAATTGTCCCATAGTGCTGGGGGACACACTTGGTGGCACTCTGTTGAGTGACACTCTTGCTCACACACTGCTGGGGGACACACTTGGTGGCACTTTGCTGGGGGACACAAACTGTCCCATGTTGCTGGGGAACACATTTGGTGGCACTTTGCTGGGGGACACATTTGGTGGCACTTTGCTGGGGGACACACTTGGTCACACACTGCTGGGGGGCAACAATTGTCCCGTATTGCTGGGGGACACACTTGGTGGCACTTTGCTGGGGGACACACTTGGTTACGCTCTGCTGAGGGACACAAACTGTGCCACACTGCTGAGGGACACACTTGACACTTTGCTGGGGGACACACTTGGTGGCACTTTGCCGGGGGACACAGACTGTCCCATACTTCTGGGTGACACCTTTGGTGGTGCTTTGCTGGGGGACACACTTGGCCATGCCTTGCTGGGGGACACATTTGGTCACGCTCTGCTGGGGGACACACTTGGTGGCGCTCTGTTGAGTGGCACTCTTGGTCACACATTGCTGGGGGACACCGATTGTCCCGTATTGCTGGGGGACACACTTGGTGGCACTTTGCTGGGGGACTCCAATTGTCCCGTATTGCTGGGGGACACACTTGGTGGCACTTTGCTGGAGGACACACTTGGTGGCACTCTGCTGGGGGACACAGATTGTCCCATAGTGCTGGGGGACACACTTGGTGGCACTTTGCTGGGGGACACATTTAGTGGCACTTTGCTGGGGGACGCAGATTGTCCCATAGTGCTGGGGGACACATTTGGTGGCACTTTGCTGTGGGACACAAATTGTCCCACTCTGCTGCTGCTGCTGTGGGACACAAATGCTGGCCCCGCCGGTGTCACACTGCTGCGGGACACACTTGGTGACACACCGGCCGTGCCACTGCTGGGGGACACCGGCGGTGACACTCTGCCACTGCTGGGGGACGGGCGCCGTCACCCACCGGTAGGAGACGCCCCGGGCCGCGCGCTGCTGGGGGACACAGGTGGTGACACACGTGGGGACGCCCTGCTGGGGACAGACGCTGGTCACACACTGCTGAGGGACGCACCTGGTGGCACTCTGCCGCGGCAGGACGCCCTTGGCGGCAAACGGCGGCCGCGGCACGCAGGTGGTGACACACCTGGGGACAATCTGCTGCTGCTGGGGGACGCACTGGGGCGGTGGCACCCGCAGCTGCTGCGGCACGCACTGGGTGACGCCGGTGACGCCCGCGCCGCCCGCCAGGCGCTGCTGCGGCACGCAGGTGGTGACACACCTGGGGACAATCTGCTGCTGCTGGGGGACGGGCGGGCAGTGCTGCGGCACCCGCAGCTGCTGCGGCACGCACTGGGTCACCCCCGCCTGGTGTGGCACGCACTGGGTCACCCCCGCCTGGTGTGGCACGCAGCAGGTGACACCCAGGCCGCCGGTCGCGCGCTGCTGAGGTGGCGCACACACTGTCACCCGCCTGGGGACAATCTGCTGCTGCAGGAGGCGCTGGGGCACGCAGGGGGATGGCACGGCCTGGGTGACGCTCTGCTGGTGGCACACGCTGGAGGACGCGGCCCGCTGCAGGGGCACAGCCTGGCCCGGCACAGCCTGGGGGACGCAGGTGGTGGAGTGCCACCGCTGAGGCGGGAAGGGGACGCCAGGAGACAGCGCCACGGGGTCCTGGTGGAGCGGAGGGAGGTGCTGGTGCAGGTGGCAGGACATCCTGGGGACACGTGGCAGGACTGGAAGGACACGGATGGGGTTGGAGTCAGGTGAGGTTTGAGGTCCCTCCCACCCCAACCCACCTGAGGGAGCCTCTGGTCCCCAAACCTTGGGGACATGTCCCAGCTGTGTCACAGTCCCAGCTGCTGGAGGCCTCAGGGACATCTTGGGGACACTTGAAGGACATGGTGGCGTTGGAATGAGCTGAATTTTAGGGTCCCTCCCCACCCGTTTGGTGACACCCAAGGACACCTGGACAGGTGAGGTGCCCACACCTTGGGGACACGTCCCAGCTGTGCCACTGTCCCATCGTGGCCCCAGCAGCACCTGAGGGACCCAACCCCTCGTTTTTAACTCTGAACCACAACCTGAAACCAAGTTGGGGACATTTGTGGACACTCAGCACTGAATGTCATGCAAAAAAATCCCCCAGTTAATTCATTTAATTAATTCATTAATTAAAACTTCCCTTACTCCCAAACTCCCCTTTTTCAGGGGCAAATCTGGGATTCAGGCACTCAGCAGTGAACCCCAAGAATCGTCTCCCACTCCAGCAAAGAAATTCCAACCAATCCATTTTAAAGTCCTCTCCCAGATTGCATTTTTCATATGGGAAAATCAGGAATAAATCTGAATTTTGTAATCCCAGAATTGCAGAGTGCTTTGGGTTGGAAAGGACAACAAAGATCAACTCAGCCCCTGCCATGGGACACCTTCCACTATCCCAGCTCACTCCAGCCTGGCCTGGGACACTTCCAGGGATGGGAAATCCATGGAACATCCTGTGCCGGGCTCTCCTCACTCTCACAGGGAACAATTCCTTCCCAAACACAACCTAAATTCCTTCACTTTCACTTTTACCCCATTCCCCCTTTTCCTGTCGCTCCAGCTCCTGATGGAAAGTCCCTCCCACCACCTTTTCATGAAGGGGATGCTCTCCCTGGAATCCCACCCCAAAACGAGATGGTATTTTTCCTAAAACCACCCCAGATCTGTCCCCGGAATCCACCAATCCCACCCCAAACTGAGGTGTTATTTTTTCTAAAACCACTCTGGATCTCTGCTTGGAATCGACTAATCCCACCCCAAAACAAGCTAGTATTTTCTTCAAAGCCACCCCAGATCACTCCTTGGAATCCACCAATCCCACCCCAAACTGAGGTGTTATTTTTCCTAAAACCACCCCAGATCTCTCCCAGGAATCTGGAAATCCCACCCCAAAATGAGCTGGTATTTTTTTCCAAAAGCCACCCCAGATCTCTGCTTGGAATCCACCAATCCCACCACAAAATGAGCTGGTATTTTTTTCCAAAGCCACCCCAGATCTCTGCTTGGAATCCACCAATCCCACCCCAAAATGAGATGGTATTTTTCCTAAAACCACCTCAGACCTTTCCCTGGAATCCACCAATCCCACCCAAAAATGAGATGGTATTTTTCCTAAAACCACCTCAGACCTTTCCCTGGAATCCACCAATCCCACCCCAAACTGAGGTGTTATTTTTCCTAAAACCACTCCAGATCCCTCCCTGGAATCTGGAAGTCCCACCCCAAAACGAGCTGGCGTTTCCCAAACCCACCCCAGACCTCCCCAAACCCAATCCCCAACCCCGCCCAGCCCGGCTTTGGAAACCTCTTGTGATGGGGAATCCTCTCCGAGCCGGCCCACCCGCCCCACCCCGCTCTGGCAATCACCAAATTTCCCCCTCTGGAATTCCTCCAGAGGCTCGGGAACCGGACTCACCCGACAGCTCCCGGGGGCGGGAAGAGCTTCCAGAGGCGACCGGAGCGTCCCGGCTCCGCCGGAGCTTTTATGGGGCCGCCGGAGGAGCCGCCGGGTCCCGCCGGCCCCGTGGCCCTCGCGGAGTGAGTCGGAGCCGCCGACTCATCCCGGACAATGAGTGGTTCCATGTCAGCTTCCCAGAGCAATTACCTGGGGATAATTAATCCTCCCGTGGCATGCGGAGCAGCAGCCCCAGCCCCGGGGCTGTTTGTGGGGATGGAAGCGCTGGATGTGTAGGAATGGGTTTTACAGAAGGGGGTTTCCCATCCCTGGGGGGCTCACGGGGGCGGCCATTAAAAACCTGGATTTGGGACAGGTTTTCCATGGGATTTGGGACAGGTTTTCCATGGGATTCTCCAGCTCTGGGGTTTCATCTCATCCACCTCGCAGCGCCCGGATTTTTGGGGTTGTTTGGCCAAGGTTTGGGTGTGGATTTCGATCCGCTGAGAGAAAACAGGAAAACAAATTCCCCCTTGTGGTGGGTGCAGCTCATTATCCATCAGAACCTTCATTTTTTTTAATTAAAAGCTCCCAGTTCTCACCCCGCCCTGTGGTCCTGGCTCGGTGTTGGTGTCACCAGGGCTGGGCATGGCTTTGTCCTGGTCCCTCTCAGCTCTCCTCGGGATCACCAGGGAGGAATTGTCCCTCAGCTCCAAGCAGGAAGGGCCTGGATTCATTCCTGGATTCATTCCCGATGGAAAATTCCAGAATTAAAGGAGGATTTTGCCCTCTCTGCTTCCTCCCCCATGTGGGGCACAATTACCCAAGAGCTCCCAAACTTCCTGATTCATTTTCGTGTCCGAAACATTCGGGGCCCTTTCTCCTGACCACAAAAACCACCTGGGTGGGGCCGTTTCTCTGAGTTCACAAGAAACCCCGATTTTTAATAAAAAAAATTAAAATCTTCAGGCCCTGACCCCTCCCTGTGGGTTTGAGCTCCGTGTTGGTGTCACCAGGGCTGGGCTTTATTGTGTCCTGATCCCTCTGAGCTCTGCTGGAGCCAGCACGGCCAAATTGGCCTTTTTGGGGTTTTTTTTGTGTCACAATGAACCCCTAAAAACACTGAGCAGATTTTTAATGAGTTTAAAAATCCACCTTCTCTTTTTTTGGGGGTTATTTTGTGTCACTATGAACCCCTAAAAGCACTGAGCAGATCTTTAATCACTTAAAAAATATTCTTGTGTGTTTTGGGGGTTTTTGTGTCACTATGAACCTATAAAAGCACTGAGCAGATTTTTAATGACTTAAAAAAATCCACCTTCTGTTTTTTGGGGTATTTTGTGTCACTACGAACCCCTAAAAGCGCTGAGCAGATCTTTAATCGCTTAAAAAATATTCTTCTGGGTTTTGGGGTATTTTGTGTCACTATGAACCCCTAAAAGCGCTGAGCAGATCTTTAGTGACCTAAAAAAAAGGGAATTCCTGGCTTTAGGAGTCTTTTAGCCTCTGGGAGAGACAAGGAGGTGAATGCCTGGGGAGGGCGCACGGGGCTGCAGGAAGTTTATCAGCTCCTGGAGCTTTTGGCCACCTCTGGCTCCGGGTGTCCCCGCGCGGGTCCCGGGGCTGTCACCTGTCCCCAGAGCTGCGGGAATGTGGCCCTGGTGACTCTCAGGTGACCGGGGCAGGTGAGGCACAGCCCTTGCACAACCGGCCGGGCTGCCACCCGAAAAGAAAACTTCCTCCGAAAAATCACGCGCGACTTTCTCACTGGTTCGGCTCCTTACCTCACACGGACTGAAAAAAAAAAAAATCCTCGTAAAACCGGGAGATTAATTTTTTTAAAGTCATTAAAAATCTGCTCAGCACTTTCACGGATTCATAGTGACACACACAAAAAAAACCCAAAAAAACAAACAAACAAAAAAAAATACAAAAAAAAAAAACAAAAAAAAAAGAGAGAGAAGATGGATTTTTTAAGTCTTTAAAAATCTGCTTAGTGCTTTTAGAGGTTCATTGTGGCACAAAAAAAAAAAAAAAACAAACAAAAAACAGAAGATGGATTTTTAAAGTCATTAAAAATCTGCTTAATCGCTTTTAGGGGTTTATAGTGGCACAAAATAACCCCAAAAAAAAGAGAAGGTGGATTTTTAAACTCATTAAAATCTGCTCAGTACTTTTATGGGTTCATAATGACAAAAAAAAACCCCAAAAAGGCCAATTTGGCCGTGCTGGCTCCAGCAGAGCTCAGAGGGATCAGGACACAATAAAGCCCAGCCCTGGTGACACCAACACGGAGCTCAAACCCACAGGGAGGGGTCAGGGCCTGAAGATTTTAATTTTTTTTATTAAAAATCGGGGTTTCTTGTGAACTCGGAGAAACGGCCCCACCCAGGTGGTTTTTGTGGTCAGGAGAAAGGGCCCCGAATGTTTCGGACACGAAAATGAATCAGGAAGTTTGGGAGCTCTTGGGTAATTGTGCCCCACATGGGGGAGGAAGCAGAGAGGGCGAAATCCTCCCTTTTTTTCCGGGAATTCTCCATCAGGAACGCATCCAGATTTTCCTGGTCAGCTCTGGGCGTCCGGCTCCACCTGGACCACGAGGACGTGGCTTTGTTGTGGTTTCTCTCCTGCAGGAATCCTTCCTTTGATCTGGAGCCACAATTCCCCCGCGGTTTTCAGCTCCCATTTTCGGAGTTTGGAACCTCCCTTTGACCAAAGCGAGCAGTTCACATCCACATAAATATAAACCATAAACAGATCCCGTTGATTTAAATTTCTATCGATTTCTCCAGGTCTGGACGGCGGCAGGTGGGGCACCAGCAGGAATTTCCACCTGGAAAAGGTGGCCCGGCATTGGAAGGCGCTTCCCAGGTGGGAATTCCTGGAGCGGGGCTGATTTTCCATCTCCTGAGGTCTCAACCCAACGCATCGAAAATTCACCTTTTTTTTTTTTTCTTTTTTTTTCCCTCTCCCTTCTCTCTCCTTTTGTTCTGCTGCCAGAGTTTCTATTTCTGGAGCAGGGAGGGAGCTCTGCATTCCTGGAGCCTCACCCTCCAAACCCGCGTTCCTGACTTATTAAAGGTGGGGTGGAGAATCCCCGAGGTCCCACCGGGCTCCTCCTCCCTCCTCCAAACCCCTCCCTGCTTTAACTCCTTTCCTCCACCTTCACCTGGTGGGCTGAAAAGGGCGGAATTCCAAAATCCCTGAAAAGAACTCCAAGATTGTCAAGTCCAAGCTCGATCCCCACCTGGACACCCAGAAAAACGCCCAGGAATTCCTCGGACACCTCCAGGGACGGCCACTCCGAACCTCCCTGAGCCCCTTCCAAAGCCTTTTCCATTTTCCAGGAGGAATTTTCCCAAATTTCCCACCCTGGCACAGCTCGAGGCCGTTCCCTCTTGTCCTGCCCCGTTCCCTGGGATCAGATCCCAAATCCCCCCTGGCAGATCCCAAATTCCCCCCGGTTCCCCCCTTTTCTCCAGGCTGAGCCCACCCCGATCCCTCAGGATTTTCCAGAACCTTCTCCAGCTGCTCCAGCCCCGTTCCCATGTCCCTTTTCCACCAGGGGACAGAGGTCCGAGCGTCACCCGAGTGTCACCCGAGTGTCCCCAGCCACCAGAGCGCAGCATTGGCCCGCGCAGGCGGCTCCTGGAAAATCCCTTGGGATCCTCCCTCCCTCCCTCTGTGTCTCCAGGAAAAGTTTTAATTTCGGGTTTGGCTCAGCCCAGCGCCTCCTCGCCGCTGGATCTGGGAGGCCGCGAAGTGGATCCAGGCTGGGAATGCTGGGAATGTTGGGAATGTGGAGACCCCAGAGCCCCTCCAGGAACTGCAGGGACAGGACACAGGGAATGGGGTCAGGGGGAATTTGGGGGGGATTTTGGGGAGGAATTGTTGCCTGTGAGGGTCCCAGGTTATTCCATGGTTTTCCCATCCCTGGGAGTGTCCAAGGCCAGGCTGGACAGGGCTTGGAGCAGCTTGGGTCCCTGCCCCTGGGTTGGAACTGGATGAGATTTAAGGTCCCTTCCCACCCAAACCATTCCTCCACTCCAAGCCATTCCATCATTCCAAAACCATTCCATGATTCCAAACCATTCCAAACCATTCCACTACTCCAAGCAATTCCAAACCATTCCAAAACCATTTCACGATTTCAAACCATTCTACCATTCCAAAACCATTCCAAAACCATTCCAGGGTTCCAAACCATTCCAGCATTCCAAACCATTCCACCATTCCAAACCATTCCAAACCATTCCAAACCATTCCATGATTCCAAACCATTCCAAACCATTCCAGGCACGGGGCAGAGAGGGAAGGGCAGGGAGCAAAGGAAACGTGAGGGGACGAGCAGCGATTGTGCTCAGAGTAATTTAATTAATTTGTAATTAAAGAGCTGCACAGGAGCTGCAGACAAGAAAACTTCTCTCATGATGAGTAAATTCCCAATTTGGGCGATTTAACAGCACTCAGGGCAAAATGAGAATGAAACTCCTCACCTGAGTCCCTCTTGCTTCACCCTAAAAGGGTTTTATTACTTAATTAACTCTTGGTTTCTCTAATTAGGAGTTCTTTGTTCTGGGCCAGGCTTCGGGGAGGTTAAGCCTGGCTTTAGGGTCAGAATAACCCCGGTGACTTCTGAAAGCTCAGCTTTTTTGGGGTTTCAGCACCAGTTTTTCTTCCCTCAGCGCCTCCATCCATCGGCTCCATCCCGTGCTGAGATTCCACGGGGAATAAAACCCTGGGATTTGGGATTTGCCTCGTGCTGGGATGGAGCAAATGGCGAGCCCAGGGTTGAAATTTCAATTATTTTAGTGATTAACTCAGCCCAGCTCATGGAACCCATGGAAAGGACAAAATCCAAGATAAATCCTTTTGGGATTTTTGGCTCAAAAGCCAATAATTGCCTTTTCCAGTGGCACCAGGAGCACCACAGAGCTGATATTCCAGTAAAAAAAAAAAAAAAAAACGGGATTTTATTTTTTCCAAGAGGTCAGGGAGGCTGAAACCAGGCTCTGTATCCCAATTCCTCCTTGGCTGACCCCAAGGCTGCTCCACTTTCCAGCAGGTCCTGGAAAAAGCTGGGAAAGGCTGAACTCCAGCGAGTTCATCCCCAGCGAGCTCCGGAGGGGGAATGAAGCAATCGGGATTTGGGTTCTTTGATGGGACGGCTGCTGGAAGAGTTGTGGGG